CAAAGGTTTCAGCCAGCCAAAAAATCCAATGACCATTGACCGTTCCTAAAGAATAGGTGTCCCAATTCAAGCAACTCGTTCCTGGCGCCAACAGAGTCGAGTTATCGCCTTCCTTAGGACCTTGGAATACCTCGAACCACACTGCGACATAGGGATTTAAAGATGTTTCCACACAAAATCCAAATGGTACATAAACTGAACCCAGCTATGTCTCATTATGCCAAATGGTGCATTGAGGCACATTTTTTATTGAATGGAAGCGTAAACAAACAAAGTTTCAAAGTTGAAGTCCCCTTCGTAGAAGATATTTTTATTAAGGGGCACAACTAGATTTTTGGGAATTTTTATAAAAAGAACTACTTGATCAATTCTTTTCAAATTTTCAGAATATATTTATACATGTTTTAAGAATGTGAAATTTTTAAAGGAAAAAGTTAAATATTTTTAAAGTTAGAGTAGATCTCCAACGGCGCTAAAAAAAAAAAGTGCCTTAACTGCTGCAGTGATTCCGGCCCTCTCCGTGGACGAAATCAAAAAATGAAAACTTCTCGTTAAACTAGATAATATTTTCCATACCATGAACTAAAAAAAAATATCAAAAAATGACAAAATGGAAGCGTTTAAAAAAAAAAATCGAATTTTAACCAAAATTTTGGTGGTTTTTGGCCTGCCAAAATTCGATAGTTCATGGTACGTAGAACTATATAAAGAACATGTAAAAAAAATTTGGTAGTGATCGGATTTTTTATTTTTTTAGTTATCACTGCAGCAAATTCGGAAAATGCTGTTTCCAGAAAAACGCGTTTACAGATAAAATGATCGTATTCACTGTTATACGAGCGGCTGCTCTTTAAATTGCTATAACTCAAAAACTATTTGAGATATCGATTTCAAATTTTAATATGTTATTTTTAAAGGTGTTATCTAGCGAAAAATTAAAAAAAAAATCGAATTTTTTAAAATCTCACACTAGTTGTGCCCCTTAAATGAAAATGTACTTTGTCGACGGTTGAACATTGTAATCGATAGTAGTGTAAGGAAATCAAGTATTTTGGTATTTTTTGGCCCCTTGGAGTATGGGCCTACTTATGTCGCTTAGAAAATGCCGCCAAGAAATGTGCTTTCCCTGTCTTGTGAATCGTAGTAGGGCACACTGCGGTAAGCTTTAATTTGTTTGTAAAATATGAGGCTGATTTAAAATTCACAGAATAAAACAACAACTCTACGACCAACGAACCAACCGTTCAATGGCGCACGCCTTTACGAGTTTTTTTTTCGGGACTACGCGTGTGTGGGGTAGTTGTTAAAACGGCAACTCCACTATCGACACAAGACAACTCCTTTTATTCGCAGTGCCCTAGGAACTCCTGTTATTCGCGGTCCTAGGGAGACTGTAGAGGCAACTTGCGCTGGAGGACGGCATGACGACCAGCTAGAGAGTTGCAAGGAGTATTTCCCGTACCAGTAGAGGAGTCGCAGCCAGCGACATAGAGGGGCGCAGCCAGCGCCGAACACTGGGTACGGACGGAGTCGCAGCCAAGGACAGGGAGACGCAGCCAGCGTCGGTTAAGGAGACCGCAGCCAGCGATTAGGAGACCGCAGCCAGCGGTTAGGAGGCGCAGGGAGCGCCAAGCACGGGTCCGCAGCCAGCGGGCCAGAAGACGCAAGAAGCGTCAAGCATCGGCGGCCGCAGCCAGCGGCCATTTTGGACGCCATTTTGGAAGGCGCTGAAACAGCGACATTTTGGACTTGGGATGCAGAATTCCCCCAAGAGGAGTTCGCTGCTGAGAGGAGGGAAAGCCACCCCTACAGCAACGCGAGCGGATCAGCAACCAGCGAGTAGTGGAGCAGGAGACCGGCCGCGAGTGAACATAACCTCGGCGGCGGCCATTTCTAGCCCAGCCACTACGGTGACTACAGTAGCGTCCCAACCCAGGAGTACTGCTGTCACAGCTGCGAGTTTAGAGCTGGAGATGAGCCAGCCCCCCACGCCGGACCTTTTGAAGAGGATTGCGGCGTTGGAGGAGGAGCTGAAGCAGGTTAAGACCCTGAACAGAGGGAGCACCGCCATTTGCGCGCCAATCGCAGTTGGCCCAGGCGCAGATGGCGCCAACAGTGGAGCATCGGAGCGGCCGCCATCTTGGAGCGGACCGCTATTTGCCACATCTAACGGTGAGGCCTCAACTAACGGGGTCGGGCCGGTCCCACATAGCGGTGTCGGTGCGAGCAGTGCGGCCTGCACGCTGCCGCCATCTTGGAGTGGACCGCCATTGCTATCGACTAGCAATCACCATGTGGAGCCACGGTGTGCTACAAGTGCTGCGCAGACAGCGCATGGATTCGTGCTACCGGGCGTGGGCATCCACAACGTGGCAACACCATCGCCATTTGTCGGATCCTACGCCTCGATGACGCCGAATAGATCCCAAGGAGTGAACGGGCCAAGAAGGCTTCCGGACCTGCCTATATTTGGAGGGCGGCCCGAGGAGTGGCCGATCTTTAATTGTGCGTTTGTGGAGACGACCCAAGCATACAACTGCACAAACCTGGAGAACAACCAGAGGTTGTTGAAGGCGCTGGAGCACGCGAGACAGTGAAGTCGCTGCTGATTCACCCTGGAAATGTTAATGCAGTGATGGAGCAGCTGCGCTTTAGGTTTGGCCGACCGGAGCAGCTTATACGCAGCCAGCTGAACAGCGTGCGAGAGGTGCCGCCGATTTCGGAGCAGCACCTGGCGAGGATCGTTCCCTTCGCAACCCGAGTGAGTAACCTCACGGCCTTCTTGCAGTCAGCGAAGGCGGAGCAGCACCTGTGGAACCCAACGCTAATGGAGGAGCTTGTGGCGAAGCTTCCTACGAGTAGGCGAGTAGATTGGGCCAGGCACGCTGCATCGATCAGGCCCTTTCCCACTGTAGCGCACTTCAGCGCGTGGCTACAGGAGTACGCAAACGTCGTGTGTACGGTTTTGGACGTCGAGGGAAAGGAGCCGAGGCGTCGAGTTCTGCATGCGAACGTCGACCAGAACGAATGCGATCAACAGAAGGATCGGCATGGAGGTTGTCCAATCTGTGGAGGGCAACATGCTGCAACGAGATGCAGGGAGTTCATTGGAGCTTCGCCACTGACACTGACTTCGCATCGACTCTGCTTCACATGCTTACGGAATGGACATACGACCAGGTTCTGTGATGTGCATAGCGAGTGCCAGATCAACGGATGCCGCAGATTGCATCACCGTCTGCTACATGGCGCGGACGAGGAGCGAAGATTGCCGGCGCAGCAAGGTGGCTTCAGGAGCCACAACGGAGGAAACCAGCAGTCAGCAGTTTCCAGGCGCGGCCCGGACAGGGGATCTTCGCCACGAGGTGGTCGCAGGGACCAAGAGGGGAGCCAGCAGTCGGCTGTCCCCAGAAACAGCCTGGAGAGAAGGGACCCGCAGCCAGCGGAGGTGCCCGTGCAGAGGAATTTAAGCTGCGTTGACGCCGAGGGAGGCCGACTTTTGTTCCGTATACTGCCAGTAACGCTATACGGAGCTGGTCGCCAGGTGGACACATACGCGCTCTTGGATGAAGGATCCTCCGTCACGATGATCGATGACGAGCTACGGAGGGATCTGGGAGTGCGAGGCGAACATCGACAGCTGAATATTCAATGGTTTGGAGGAAGGGCCAGCAGAGAGCCCAGCAACGTGGTGAGTCTAGAGATAAGTGGAGTTGGAAAGCCCACTCGTCACACCTTAAGGAACGTGTACTCCGTTTCGAGCCTGAGTCTGCCGATGCAGACGTTAGGCCGTCGAGATGTCCAGGGCATGCATAAGGATGCGCGCCTGCCGATGAAGCCCTACATCAACGCGGTGCCTAAGCTGCTCATCGGTCTGGACCATGGACATTTCGGATTGCCACTAAGAACGAGGCGGTTTGCCAGAGAGGGACCGTATGCGGCCGCAACCAAACTTGGATGGGTTGTGTTTGGGCCAGTAAGTGGGCAATCAACTACGCCGTCACCGAGGTCCTGCCTACTAGCCGTGTCAATGGATGATACGATGGAACAGATGGTGGAGGACTACTTCGAGATGGAAAGCTTTGGTGTGAAGCTCGCGCCACAGGTCGCAGCCAGCGATGACGCGCGGGCACAAAGGATCCTCGAAGACACAACGGTGAAAGTGGGGCGTCGCTACCAGACGGGATTACTCTGAAAGGACGACTACGCTGTGCTGCCACGGAGCTACGAGATGGCGCACAGACGGCTGATTAACGTCGAGAAGAAGTTGAAGCGCAACGGGCAGTTGGCGTTGGAATACGATCGTATCATCAAGGATTACGTAGCCAAAGGATATGCGAGGAAGCTGCAGCAGGATGAGGTCGCGGTGACGAGCGACCGGCTATGGTATTTGCCACATTTTGGTGTCGAAAACCTGAACAAGCCCGGTAAGGTCCGGCTTGTGTTCGATGCTGCAGCCAAGGTTGGAGGAACCTCGCTAAATTCGGCGCTGGACAAGGGGCCTCAGCATTACAAGCCCTTGCCAGCCGTGCTCTTCCACTTCAGGGAAGGAGCAGTCGGAGTCTGCGGTGACATCAAGGAGATGTTCCACCAAGTGCTGATCCGACCCGAGGATCGATGTTCCCAACGATTCCTTTGGAGAGATGGCAACGACGATCGAGACCCGGATGTGTACGAGATGAACGTAATGACGTTTGGAGCAGCCTGCTCGCCGAGCGCTGCGCATTACGTGAAGACGGTGAATGCCCTGAAGTTTCGGGATTCGGATCCGAGGGCAGTCAAGGCCATCATCGACCACCACTACGTCGATGACTATGTGGACAGTTTCGCTACAGAAAACAAAGCTATCAGTGTCTCTACCCGAGTGAAGGAGGCTTGCGGAGGCTGGATTCGAGTTATGCCAGTTTTCATCCAGCTCACCCATCGTGGAAGCGGCGTTGGGACCACCTGGACAAGTCAAGAGCGTCGAATGGGGTGAGGCTGAGCAGAAGATCTTTGGAATGCGCTGGCAGGTAGCCACGGACGACTTCAGATTCAACGTGGAGTATCACCGAGTGCCAAGTAGCATTCTAAGTGGAGATCGAGTCTTTACAAAGAGGGTGTATTTGAGCCTGATGATGTCAACGTTCGACCCACTGGGATTCCTGTGCTGCCTGATGATTACAGCGAAGGTGCTGTTGAGAGAGATCTGGAGGCAGAAGATCCAGTGGGACAAACCACTACCGGAAGAGATAGGCAGAGCCTTTGCGGCCTGGCGCAGGAAGATGGACGCCGTGGGACAGTTCCGATGCCCTCGTCACTATTTTGGGCATGGAGCAGTGCGGACCATCGAGCTGCACGTGTTCGTGGATGTAAGTCAATCTGCATTCGCGGCGGTGGCCTATTGGAGGGCCACGTACGAGGATGACAACGTGCACGTTAGCTTCGTGTGCGCAAAGACGAAGTGCGCGCCGATGAGAACGATGTCGATCCCAAGGTTGATGAACACTGTCAAGGAGGAGCACAGTGTGGACATCAGCGAGATGGTGTTGTGGACGGACTCTAAAACGGTGCTGAGATGGATCGGCAGCACCCACCGCCGGTACAAGCAGTTTGTTGGCAACCGAGTGGCGGAGATTTTGGAGTCGTCGAAGGTTTCCCAGTGGCGATGGGTACCAACAGCTGACAACGCAGCGGATGATGCGACGCGGTCGCAGAATAAGGCGGACCTTAGCCCGGAATCGCGTTGGCTAAGCGGACCCGCATTTTTGAGACAGCCAGCGAGAGGCTGGCCGGCGCCTGAGGAGGGAACCGAGCGTGTTCCAGATGCGCCTGATGAAGAGGAGATGCCCAGTGAGTTTGCATTAGTGGCCACAAATGAATTCGCTATTCCGTTTCACAGATTCTCGAGCTTCAGTCGCCTGGTGAGGACCACAGCCTGGGTCTTGAGGTTTGCGCGTTGGTGTCGCAAGCAGAGAAGCGAGCTCGAGGAGTACGGACTCACTGCAACGGAGTGTGAGGCCGCGGAGAACATGTTAGTCAGACAGGCTCAATTGGAATCGTTTCCCAAAGAAATGAGGTCGGCGGAATGCGGAAAGGGCGTCGCCAGCTCGAGTGAGATTCGAGGTCTGGCACCCTATGTGGATGAACACGGAGTTCTGCGAGCCCATGGCAGGGTTGATGCCGCGCTGTGCATGCCGTACAGCGCGAGGAGGCCCGTAATACTGTCACACAGGCACAGTCTTACGGAATTAATTGTAAGGCACTTTCACGCCCAGATGAAGCATCAAAACGTGGATGCGACGATTGCTCAGATCCGGACGAGATTCTGGGTCACGAAGATGAGACGAGTGATTAAGGAGGTAATCTCGTCGTGCAACGAGTGCAAGTTGCAGCGAACGCGGCCGATGCCGCCGATAATGGGTCCCCTTCCAGAGGATCGACTGGAAGCAGGGGGATGGCCATTTAAGTATACTGGACTGGACTACTTTGGGCCACTGCTGGTGACTGTATCCCGTCACGGAGAGAAGCGTTGGGTCGCCTTGTTTACGTGCTTGACGACAAGGGCAATTCATCTGGAGCTGGCGCACGATTTATCGACGGATTCCTGCATAATAGCGATCAGGAACTTCGTCTGCCGTAGAGGACCAGTACATAGACTGCGGAGTAATAACGGCAAGAACTTCGTGGGAGCTGACAGGGAAGCCAGGCGATTTGGAGACGTGTTCGAGACGGAGAGGATACAGAGTGAGTTGTCCAGCAGGAGCATTGATTGGGTTTTCAATTGCCCAACGAACCCGTCTGAGGGCGGAGTATGGGAGCGGATGGTGCAGTGTGTAAAGCGAGTGCTGCGCCATACCCTGAAGGAAGTCGCGCCGAGGGATCATGTGTTGGAGAGCTTCCTCATCGAGGCGGAGAATGTAGTCAACTCGCGTCCGCTCACCCACTTGCCGGTGGATGCGGACCAAGAGGCGCCGTTGACACCAAACGATCTGTTCAAGGGAGCAGCTAACCTGCCGAATACGCCTGGACTGGATGCGGAGCTGCCCAAGGAGGATTCTACGCGGAAGCAGTGGAGGATTGCTCGCATGCTGCGAGACCGTTTCTGGAGGAGGTGGGTCCTGGAGTACCTACCTACGCTTGTGCGCCGTGAGAAGTGGTGCCGGAGAACGGAGCTCATCCGCCAGGGCGATATGTCTTCGTCTGCGATCCCGCCTTGCCCAGACGAGAGTGGCGCAAAGGCATCGTGGAGGAGGTCTACAGCGGAGCTGATGGAGTCATCAGACGCGCCACTGTGCGCGTGAACGACGACGGACTATCTCGGACAATGTTGCGGCCCGTCTCAAAACTTGCAGTTTTGGATTTAAGTGAACCGGTTCTTCACGGGGTCGGGGATGTCGACGGTTGAACATTGTAATCGATAGTAGTGTAAGGAAATCAAGTATTTTGGTATTTTTTGGCCCCTTGGAGTATGGGCCTACTTATGTCGCTTAGAAAATGCCGCCAAGAAATGTGCTTTCACTGTCTTGTGAATCGTAGTAGGGCACACTGCGGTAAGCTTTAATTTGTTTGTAAAATATGAGGCTGATTTGAATTTCACAGAATAAAACAACAACTCTACGACCATCGAACCAACCGTTCAATGGCGCACGCCTTTACGAGTTTTTTCTTCGGGACTACGCGTGTGTGGGGTAGTTGTTAAAACGGCAACTCCACTATCGACACAAGACATACTTAAAGGTAGGTATACCTTTTGTCGCGACGGAAATAAATTGATCAAGGTCGATAAAGCTGACCACGCCGTGTGCCCAACCCAACGCCTGCAACGAGTGATCGTTGCCGAGCGGATTTAAACTTTTGATAGGGCCCTTGGTCAACTGCGATATCGCTCTAAGTAGGTCTGGAGTAGACATCTGCATGAGTGGCAAAAAACCCACATTCAAATGCACAATGCTCAAAATGAGTTGAGTGAATTTGAGAGCAAAGCCAACATGGAGTGAGAGGATTGACTCTCTTTAGCTTACTCATTTGCACAACTAGCAGGTAGAAGGAAAGGAATTGAGTGAATTGAGAACGTTGAAAACAGAGACGTTGCATTCGAATGATTCGAGTTGCAAATGTAAATAAAAGGAAATAAAAACAAATTAAATGCAGTGAATTTTCTTCGAGTCCGAAAAGGCTTTATATTTATGGTTTTTTATTTTATTTATTTCTAAATTAACAATAACTTACAACTAATTTAAATTGGAATGCAAAAACATTATTTTGTTAATATTTTCCGAATTAGTAGCTATTTGACAACGATTTTCTGTAAAAATTGCTTGCGCTTGAAAATGTACGTTCCGAAGCCGCGCTGCTCGCTGGAATGCAAAATTTTTTGACTTTGTGCTGCAGTTCTCAAGAAAGGAATGTACAGAAATCCTAAGCAAGAACTCGAATGATTCGAGTATTCAAGGCATAGCCAAATCTCTCATTTCACTTTTCGTTTCGTTCATTCACTCTCATTTCGTTTGACGTCTCAAATTTCATTTCCATCATTCCACTCACTCCATTCTATTCGATTCGAATCAGAGCTCGCAAATAACAGTCGACCGTTTCTCGTTGTCTGCTAATAACAGTATTCTCCTGACCCTTTACGAAAAGTCTCAGAGAACGACCGATTTATGGGTTCGTAATTGGGTTCGGTTGCGCTCAGACCGAAACCGATTTTTCTATTCGGTTTTGTTCTGGTTGCTCCAGGACCGTTTTGTCGTTTTCAGTGAAGCAAAAGGTCTTTTGCATATGTATTGGTATACAGTGCACGTATAGGCAAGCAAATCGTAAAACATCGGTTTTGCGGACGAAATATATTAATCGTCTTCGTGAATTGAACGTTTGTGTGTAAATGCCAAGACCGTTTGCATTGAGTTTTTCGGTCAATCGGTCTTTTGGTGACTCTCATTGTGCGAGCGTTTCTCGATCTGCTCCTTACGCACTGCTCATTGAAAGACCGAAATGCAAAGAGCTGAACGAAAAGTGCTCAACAGAAAACACAAATGACGACAGCAAGGGGCTCTTGCTCAGAGCGAGAGCGAGACAGTATGAACTTTTTCGGTTGTGCTCGCACCCAGAGCACTAGATGAAAAACGATCAACTGTTATTTGCGAGCTCTGATTAGAATGTATTCATTTAGACGTATGTTATGAATGTAATCATGCAGACGTCTAGTCTGGAGTTATAGCCGCGGTAAAGTTTAGATTAGTCTGATTTGTACTCCGTAAGCCAAAACTTGCGATAAACTTGCAACCAACTTTTAAAATATCCTTGGCTCGAAAGAGTTAGGATTAATAAAAAGAACTTATAGTAAGTTGAATGTTTTCAAAGCAATTTTTATGTTTGTACCATTCACAACTAAAACTAAAGATATGAATCTTACTTTACACAACATTCATCGAAGTGCAACCTCTCAAAAGAACGAAACATCGGGACATATCCCAGTTGATTTGGTGTTTATCTTTATCCTATTCATGTTGTTCAAAACGATATGACTCTACATGATGATTTTGAAATCAACGTTATATGTTCATCATAGTCAAACAAAACCAAGTGTTGGATCATCGCAGAAACATCTCTATTAAAACTTATAATTAATTTCGATAAACTTTTCGAAATGTATTTGTCGGATCAAATGAAACGGGGCCTACTTTGTTCTCTTGGTCAGGACAGGTGAAGCGGGGCCTTCTTTAATGTGAAACAGGGACAATTAAAAAAGGAAGTTAGAAATTGAGTGAAAGCATGGCAGAGCAGGACAGATTTAGACTGCTGCCAAGTGAGGTCTGTTCGTTAAGCGCTGACATACATGTTAGAAAGAGATGGCTAACAATGTATAAGAATTGAGTAGAAAGTATAAATTTGGAAATAGACTCTTGGGAAGTCAGTTCAAAAAGCGCCTGTCAATCGAACGGAACTTGCTGCTGAGAATTTTTAATTAAAGTGATGGATAATACAAACGGTCCGCCGACATCAGAAATGGGATTCGCCTCGCCTACAGACAAAACTCCTGGACAATATATGGCAGCGTTGGAAGCCCAGAACAGAACCCTGATGGAGCTACTAAAATCTATGCAGACACCAAGGACTTCGGCAGCGGACGATAAGGCTACGCATGTCGCTTTGCCAAAATTTAATCCCGATGGAGCCGGAGCAGACGCCTCAGCCTGGTGTACGACAGTCGACCTCATATTTGCAGACCACGTTTTAGAGGGCAGCGGTCTGGTGATGACTTTAAGCAAGGCGCTAGAAGGCAGTGCGTCACAATGGTTATCGCAAGTATGTTTCGCTGGCATAACCTGGACACAGTTTAAGGAACTGTTCAACCAACGCTTCGTGGGAGTGGAGACAACCACAGCGATTTTACTGAACGTTTTGGATGGTCGTCCTAAATCTGGAGAGGGATTCGCAGAGTATGGCAGCCGGATTGATACGTCACTTATGTCCAAGTGGAAAGCCATAGACGTGGAGGAAATCGCAGTGTCGGTAGCGTTGGCACATATGGCGCAAATCGACAACAGCTTGTTACGTTGGGTATATACAACTAACGTTACAAGCCGCAATGAGCTACAACAACAACTGCAGGCTCATGCTTTTAAGAAGCGTAATGCGGAAGAGAATGCAAGTTCAACGGGCCCAGAGCGAAAGAAGATCAAGTTCCAAGTGAAATGTCATCACTGTGGAAAGATTGGACATAAAATCGCGGAATGCCGGAATCGACTGGAAAGAACTGGACACAACGCGAGGGGGAACAATCAGAACGGGAGCAGTGACTTTGGAGTGAAGAACCGGATCAACATACGATGTGTCCACTGCAACGAAAAGGGACACTACGCTAACTCTTGTCCAAAAATCAAAACTAGCGAGAACGAGAAGAAGAAGATGTACGAAAAGCGTGTGGACTTTTGCACTGTGGCCCCGCCAAAGGGAAACATAAATGTATCCGGTGAGCTCATTCCATTTTGCTTTGACTCCGGAGCAGAGTGTTCATTAGTTAAGGAAAGTGTTGCAGAGAAATTTAAAGGAAAAAGACTTAATAATATTGTAAAACTAAATGGCATAGGTAACGACTCCATCTGTAGCACAATGCAAATTCTTTCCAATATAAATGTTGAACAGTATTGCCTAGAGATTTTATTGCATGTTGTAATGGACAAATATTTGAAATACGATGTTTTAATTGGCCGCGAAATATTAAGCCAGGGCTTTAGTGTAACAATTGCCGCAGAAAAATTCAGTATTGACAAAACAAAAAGAGTTGATGTCGTAACTTTTGCTACTTATGATAATGTTGTAGATTCCGATGGCGACCTGAGTAACTCCGACAAGATGGCATTAAAAAACATTTTAAAACGTTATTCTGACTGGTTTATAGACGGAATACCACAGACTCGTGTAACGACAGGGAATTTGGAAATCAGGTTAATAGATCCACTAAAGACAGTGCAGCGCAGGCCATATAGGCTTAGTGAAGATGAGAAAGAGCATGTTCGTTATAAAATCGACGAGCTTCTAAAATTTAATATTATTCGTCCCAGTTGTTCACCTTTCGCTAGCCCGATGATGCTTGTTAAGAAGAAAAACGGTAGTGACCGTCTTTGTGTTGATTTCCGAGCTTTGAATGAGAACACAGTAGCAGATAAGTACCCATTGCCTCTAATTTCAGACCAAATTGCTAGGTTACGTGGAGCAAGCTATTTCTCAAGTCTCGATATGGCAAGCGGCTTCTACCAAATACCGGTACATCCCGATTCAATTGAGCGTACAGCATTTGTCACGCCTGAGGGTCAATATGAATTTTTGACTATGCCTTTTGGCTTAAAAAACGCTCCGTCTGTGTTTCAGCGCGCTATAAATAAAGCATTGGGTAATCTGGCTCACACTTACGCAATCGTGTATATTGATGATGTCTTAGTTGTGGCGGAAACTAAAGATGAAGCCTTAGACCGACTGCAGATTGTGCTAGAAACCTTGAGCAAGGCTGGATTTTCATTTAATGTAACGAAGTGTTCTTTTCTTAAAACTAGGGTAGAATATCTGGGATTTGAAGTGAGCAATGGACAGGTTCGCCCTAATCCACGCAAAATTCAGGTTTTAACAGACTTGCCACCCCCAAAGTCGGTAACGCAATTGAGGCTTTTCATAGGGCTAGCGTCTTACTTTCGGCAGTTTGTGCCAAAATTTTCAGAGACTTTAAAACTCTTGTATGCCCTAACCTCAAGAAAAAACTCTGATTTCGTTTGGCAGATAGAGCATGAAAAAATTCGCACGAAAATAATATCATTTCTAACCCAGGAGCCAGTGCTAAGAATATTTGACCCTCAACACTCCATAGAACTACACACCGATGCCAGCTCAATTGGCTATGGAGCAATATTGCTACACAGAATAGATAAAAGCCCCATGTTGTTGAATATTTTAGTAAATGCACATCACCTGCTGAATCAAAATACCACTCTTACGAACTTGAGACTTTGGCAGTTGTCAATGCCATTAAACATTTCCGTCATTATTTACAGGGGCGAAAATTTGTAGTGTTTACTGATTGCAACTCGCTGAAAGCTAGTCGTACAAAATTGGACCTATTGCCGAGGGTGTATCGATGGTGGGCCTTTTTACAGTCGTTGGATTTTGACATTCAATATACGAAGGGAGAACGAATGGCACACGTAGATTTTTTGTCAAGGAATCCCCTGGTTAAAGAGAATAGAAGTGTGGAAAAAATAGTGGAAAAGCGGGTTGAATTGACTGAGATAACTGATAATTGGCTAGTTTCTGAACAGATACGTGATCCTGAGGTGGCAGAGTTAATAGTTAAGCTTAAAAATAACGAATTGCCGGAAAACCTAGATAAAACCTATGAACTGCGAAAAGGAGTTTTATATAGGAAAATACAAAGAAACGGCAAAACCAAATGTTTGCCTGTAATCCCTAGGGCATTTAGATGGGCAGTGATTAATCACGTCCACGAATCTATTATGCATCTAGGTTGGGAGAAAACGTTGGATAAAGTTTATGGTTTTTACTGGTTCGAAAACATGTCGAAGTACGTTCGTAGGTTTGTCGAAAATTGCATCACCTGTAAATTAGCTAAGCCACCAGTTGGAAAAAGGCAGGTTGAATTACATCCGATTCCTAAGGTAGAAATTCCGTGGCACACCCTACATATTGACATAACAGGAAAATGAGTGGAAAAAATGACTTAAAGGAGTACGTTATTGTTTTGGTAGATGCGTTTACAAAATTTGTTTATTTTTATCACACCTTAAAAATTGACACAGAAAATACTATCAAGGCTGTTAGAGCCGTCGTGTGTTTGTTTGGAGTCCCAAATCGAATTATAGCGGATCAGGGCCGTAACTTTGCAAGTTCAGGATTCCGTGAATTTTGTGTTTCTCAAAAAATTGACCTACACTTAATTGCTACAGGTACGAGCAGAGCCAATGGACAGGTGGAACGTGTAATGAGCACGCTTAAGAGTATGTTGACCGTTGTCGAAACCAGTCAGAGGTCGTGGCAAGACGCCTTACCCGAAGTACAGCTAGCAATGAATTGTACGGCCAATCGAGTCACCAAGGTCAGCCCGTTAGAAGTGCTAATTGGTAGGGAAGCTAGACCTTTTGGCCTTTTGCCGATAGGTGATGAAGAGGACAATTTAGTTGAAAGGGAAAATTTAAGAAAACAAGCTAAAGAAAACATGGAATCCAGTGCTCGTTACGACAAACGCAGATTTGATAAGAACAAGGCAAAAATAATAAAATATAACGTAGGAGATCATGTGTTGCTAAAAAATGAAGAGCGTCACCAAACAAAGCTTGACCCAAAGTTTAAAGGTCCTTTTGAAATAATTAAACTATTAGATGGAGATCGGTACACTTTAAAATCTTTAACTAGCAAAAGAACTTACAAATATGCGCATGAGTTTTTGAGGGCATTGCCAAATAGACAAATAAATATCGAAGTTGATAAAGATTTAGACGACTTTAGTGCAGATGCGTCTGATTCCCATGTGGGGAATGATGATATGGAAGGCACGGTGGATGCCTTGGAATCCCAAGAGGGGATAGAATAACCGCACCATAACAGAAGGAATTGTTATGGCGGGGGTTAGTGATAACCGCACCATAACAGAAGGAATTGTTATGGCGGGGGTTAGTGATGACCGCACCATAACAGAAGGACTTGTTATGGCGGGGGTCAGTATGTGGGTGTTAAAGGAAATACACCAGTTGATAAAGCTATGCAATTAGTCAAGTCTGAATTGTAAATTATGATTAAAATGAAAATGTAAATTGTGAAATGTAATTAAGAAATCAATTTGTTTATTTTGTCTAAATGCCTCAAAACTTATGTAAAGAAAATGTAATAAAATGTTTGTTGATAATAAAATGTAATGAGAACTGAAATTTGAGAATACTGTGATTTTAAGGTAACACACGAGGACGTGTGATTCGTCAGGAAGGCCGTTTCGGATCAAATGAAACGGGGCCTACTTTGTTCTCTTGGTCAGGACAGGTGAAGCGGGGCCTTCTTTAATGTGAAACAGGGACAATTAAAAAAGGAAGTTAGAAATTGAGTGAAAGCATGGCAGAGCAGGACAGATTTAGACTGCTGCCAAGTGAGGTCTGTTCGTTAAGCGCTGACATACATGTTAGAAAGAGATGGCTAACAATGTATAAGAATTGAGTAGAAAGTATAAATTTGGAAAGTAGACTCTTGGGAAGTCAGTTCAAAAAGCGCCTGTCAATCGAACGGAACTTGCTGCTGAGAATTTTTAATTAAAGTGATGGATAATACAAACGGTCCGCCGACATATTTAAATCTCCTGTGTATTATTTTTACATTCTTTGTATTCTCCATTCTTGCATCCTTTGTATTCATCATTCTCGCATTCTTGCATTCACCACGAGTCGGCCGCTGCGCCGGCACGAAAATGGTCATTATTAAAAATTCGATCGTTTAGAGTACACGCAATTCGCAACCCGAGTTTTTATTTAATCAAATCGCTAACTTGACCTAATCACACCGCCCAAACACACCCCGGCAAGAAAACGCTCTTGTCCCTACATTTTGGCGCACAACGTGGGGCTGTGTGATTAATTTCGCTTAAATTGGATTTTTTCGTCGTTGGATTGCTAAGTCGTCATCGCCCTTTTGTCGTCACTTCGCACAGTTGCCATCTACCGTTGATCTTCGCATCGCTGGAAGCTGCCTGGAAACATACGCCGTTCGTTTGCAGTTGGTTGTAAGAAATTTTCACTCGCACACAAACCTGGAACTTGTCGCTGGCACCTGTAGCACCCAATTGGAACTTGGCTGGATGACCAATAAGTATTATATTTCGTCGCCACAGTACTTGAAGGTACCTCGTCTATTTTGTTTCGCTACAACAAGCGGAAAAATTCTATTGCAACAATATGAGTCTCGATCAACTAAAACAGCAGCGTGTAAACATTCGCAGGAACTTTTCTCGGATCGGTAGCAAACTACAGGGTACACACGAGGATGAAAATTCGTCGAATATGTCTACGGGTCAGCTAAACTGCTGGCTTGGTATCTTGGAGGCATATTTCAAACAGCTGATGGTGGTCCAAACCAAAATAGAGGAGCTTCACCCTTCGGATTCATCGCGCGGTGAGCTTGAAGATTTATATGTCTCACTCAAAGTTGGGATTAAAGAGCAGCTTGGAGAAGATTTTCAGAACCCCGCTGTATTCGAAAAGGCACCCAACCATTCCCTTGTGTCGTCAATGAAACTACCTAGAGTCGAGCTCCCAAATTTGACAGGAATTATGCTGCCTACAAAAACTTCATTTCATCGTTTAAGCAAATAATAGATCAACATGCGGGCCTGAAGTGAGTGTATAGCATTAATTGATAGGCATTGTAAATACCTGGAAACTTCCGACCAGACCGAAGCTAGTACGAAGGCGCACCATGCAGTTAGTGGCGGTAAACATCGCTATCAACAAGGACAACGTTTGAGGGCGAGCTTTAATTGTACCACTCAAGCCTGCCTCTATTGCTCCGATGTTAATCATAAAATATTTAGCTGCCCCAATTCAAAACGCTTAAAGCCCTACAGCGGTATGAGGTAGCTAAGGACAATTTCTCTGTCTTAACTGCTTAGGCAAGAGACATCATCTGTCCAAGTGTCCTTCTAGCCAGAAATGTCGTTTGTGCTCTCGATCACATCACACCCTGCTTCATCTTGAGAGTACAAATTTAGCTCAGCAAACCTGTTCGGAACCACCATCCAGCGTTGACGTTGTTTCTCACACTCATATAGACTATTCACCTGACCAAGTCATCTTGGCCACGGCCATGGTCTTAAGAAGGGATGCAAACGGTACTTATATAAATCGTTCTATCATAAACGGGCGCCTAACCTTCGAAGAACTCAGCACGGTTCTTATCGACATAAAACCGATCCTAAATTCGCGACCCATAACGCCACTATCACCGACCCTAACGACTTGGAGGGTCACTCCGGGTCACTTCCTCGTAGGAAACTCCTTGCGTGCGGTGCCTGAAGACCCGTCTGAAGGCGAAAACATCAACAACTTGGAGCGTTGGAGAAGAGTCAGCGCAATAAATTTTATCCTCAAATGCACGATCCACATCATTTTCACAGTTCAACTTAAATTGAATACCCGTTTGTCCATGAAATTAACTAAGCACAGAACACTAAGGTTTACATAATATGTGAAAAAACTTAATTCACTTGGAAATGATAAATGAAAACCACAAAAATTGAGTTAAAATGCTGTGGTAGCGGGTTTGTCAGTGTGATGAGGTAGCAATTCACTTTATATGCGACAATATAGCAATTTTCTTACGGATCCCAAGATCCGGAGCCTATTCGTTGCAAACAAACAAACAAATTTTAACTCTTTATAATATTAGTATAGAAGTATATATTAGATTAAACAATTACGACAGTAACACTATTAAACAATATCAGTAAGAATTTATGTGGTTCATTTGGCATTGGCAGCAGTGGAAATTTGCCATTACCAATGTCAATGAGTTGTTCAGAAAATATGTTTCCAGATTGGTCATTTTGCAACTCGACACGCATATTCTTGCTTAAATGAAGTACTTTGACATGTTTCCACAAATTGGAGGACTTTAGACACGGATTGAGTTTATCAGCTGGCGTTGATCGTGGAATCACTGGCAATGTTTGACGAAAATCTCCTGCTAATAAAATCATTGCACCACCAAATCGGTTATTATTGCTCCGTAGATCTTTTAAGGTTCTGTCTAAGGCCTCCAAAATGATTTATGTGCCATCGTGCATTCATCCCAAACAATCAATTTACATTGCTGCAAAACCTTTGCCATTGCAGAGTTCTTCGAAACGTTGCAGGTTGGAGTTTCATTGCTTTGCATATTTAATGGCAATTTTAGTGCTGAATGGGCTGTTCGACCACCTTCAAGCAAAGTTGCTGCGATTTCCGCTTCGCCACCAGATGGCAACGTACTCTTCTAACATTCACTGTACTACGGCCTATGTTCCAACAACGTCGTCTGCCAAACATGATTTTATCATTTCTGTACATAATTTACTCAGTTCTAGACTTTTGTATAGTACCTACTAAGTTTGTAATGTATAG